TTAAGCAGGGGTGTTCGTGATTTTGGCGCCGAGTCAAAGTAATTCGTTTATTTGATATTTTGTGATGTAAAAGACGTGCTGCTGGATAATCGAAAAAAATATCTTGGCAAGTTTTCGTTCGCATTTTATAACAATACTCGTAGCGGGCTCCTTGATAAACATTCTATAATTAACACACTTAATTACGTCAGAAGATCAAAGAGGCAGCTTCCCAGAGTCTGCATGGATGTCTAAGCCAATCACATTCTGGTAGCCCCGCGGTCAATTGCTCTGCTTAGTGATATCGCTAGCTATCTTTCAAATCCAAACATTCTTGATACGACTAAAAGAGTTTTTGGCTCTTTCTACTATTTGCGAAACAAAAATGACACAAGTGAAAGGTTCGAGTACATGTGTCTTGCCAAAAGTAAGTAATTCACTGAAAAGCATTTTTTTTCCGCACTATTCAGTGAGGATAAGGGCGAGCTTTCCTTTAATTACACCCGTACCGTGATTTGCATAGCAACGTACGAGTCGTGCTTCAAGTAGTTTGATAGCTTCTGTTAGAGTCAGAAACAAATTTATCGCTGCGATTGATTAGAAAAATTATTCGTTTGATAAGGGTTGCAAAATGAAGTTCCAAGGAAAGGTGTTTTTGATGGAAAGTAGGTTTCCTAAAGTGGCCTAAAATAGACACAGCTGTCTGCGAAAAAATGTGGCATTGAAAGACAGAAGAAAACAGTAACACTTCGGCTGCAAAATGCAAATAAAATTTTTTTGTCATTTTCTTGCTTTCTTATTTGTCATTTTTCAAGCGATTTATTGAGAACTGGAAATTTATGGATGGTGAAACGGCAGTAAATTTTGTTTTTAATCTTTTTAATATCTCCTGATTAGCATCGAAAACGTGGTTTAGCTTAATGTCTTGCCATAAAAGCAAAAACAAGAAACAAAATTTGGAAAGGAAAGAAGATGAGAAATCGCTTGTTTGTCGTATTTAGCGAAAGCTATAACTTCCGGTGTTGAAACATTTCCAAGCCACTTCCGCTTTTCAAAGCGACCGAGTTATGACTTCACTAATGGCGTCACGTCAAATTGGGAGTCCTATCCCACATCCTCCTAAGCGCGCTTGGAGCGACGACCAAACGTGTCAGGTAATACAGCTTAAATTAAAGACAGGTTTCACCAGGCCTGATCACAGCAACTGACTGCTTCATGTTGCATTTTGCGCAGCTGGACGAATCTGTAGTGACACCCGGCTTCGCTTACAACATCGCGAGGTATTTTCCTTCGGGAACTCACGCTGATAAAGAGAGGTGCATAGAACTCATGGAGAAGATTGGAGTATCATCAGATCCAGCAATGTGGTATTCAACAGGTGAGAAGCTCTTAGAGTGATAGGCTTAGAATTTCAAAGAAAATGTATTAACCTAATTTGTTGTTATTATTCTTCGCCCACAGCTCCGGTGTCTCCCGCGCGACCACGGAGCGTGCCGCCACGATGCACTCGTTTCCCGGAGAAGAGCAAACACAGTTCTACGAAAAACCCGGAGCTGTTTTACATGACCACTAATAAAAGGGAATTCGGAGGAAATTTTGGTCCGCCGGCAAGGAGTGCAAGGTAAAGGGATTTTTCATTTTATGTTTGAATTGCGCAAAATGCGGTGTCTTAGCAACGGAATGTGAACCTCGTTTAGTTTCATTGTTCTCTCTTTTTACGCAGACCAAGCACTTCCAAAATATTCTCAAGCAGAAATAGCGACAGTTCCACAACATATCGGACTGACTTTAGTTCAAAGAACGATAAAAAAGTAAAGGGAATTCGCACGGGTAGCTCATCTGGTAACAGAAGCAATAATCCGCACCCCTCCGAGGTAGGAATAGGGGAGATTATTTTAAATTAAGAGTAAATAACGATTAGAAACGTTTGCATTTAATGCAGCTGTTATTCTACGAATTGTTAAAGCTGATTTGCTCTATAATTTTCATTCCAAGGGTAACAATTAGTCAACGAAACGACATCGTAACCTCTTGAACCAATTGGTAGATTCTTTAGCATTAGTTACGAACGCGTAGCTGCGATGGCCGAGTGGTTAAGGCGTTGGACTTGAAATCCAATACGGTTTCCGTGCGTAGGTTCGAATCCTGCTCGCAGCGCATACAATTTTTATTTTTACTATTAGTTATTTTCTTTTACATTTACAAAAGTCTCTCCAATGATTTACCAGCAGCTTTCATATTTTCCGCATGTTTCTCAACTTTATTAATTGGGAACCTAATTCGCAGCTGATTAGCTTTAAATGTACTTTTTACCTCTTCATAAAAACAGAAGATATTTATAATTTTAAAAAGCCTACCTAAGCTTGATGGTCAGACTATCAAGCAGAATTAAAAAATTAAATCTTCCTGCTTGGAATTTGGGATTTATTCTGTTTAAATAGATAAATCGAGCAAAAACTGTTAATTCAAGCTTGACCCAGTTAAGTCTTAATATTCATTTCTTCTTATAAATTTTTTTGTTTCGATTCCCAAGGCGTTCATAACATGGAAATTCGCAAGCCGATTTCCATCAGTACTCTGTGAAGAGATTGACCCAGAAGCAATGAATGAAGTGTGTAAAGATGAACTTAAATCTACCTATCAGAGTGATTACACAGGAATTCCACAGGGTAATTATAAGGCCAAAAGTCCAAGCCTACAGTGCAATTAGTTATATGGCTTCTTAACACTAATGTGATTGGGTGAGAATCAGATCATTAGAATAACTGTGAAGTAATTCATCAGCAGTAACATACAGAAAAGATGCAACAAAAATTATGTGAAACTGATCACTTTTTATTTTTGCTTAAATCTGTAATTTAGCAAATGGTTACTTTTTTTTTGCAGTATAATATTTTTGAAAAAGTTTTTGGCAGAAAAAGTCTTGGGATTGATGGAAAATGGAACCCACCACCATGCTGTTTTTAAGAATTAAAGAGGAAAAAAATTCTGGTGGTTATATTCTGGTGGCAGGGTTTACTATTTTGATTTCTTGTGTTGCCAATGAACCAGAGTAGATTTTCATTGTGTATAGTGTTGTCTTATTTTTTGGCTAATTCTAGTTAAAAATTCTACCTGAAGTTCCCTTGTTCTGGGAGGTCTGTTTTAGTGAAAACTGTGAACTAGTTCTTGCAAAGGCTGCCCTCAGCCTGTGGCCTCAAATGTGAAGTCACACTTTATAACTGTATGGATCAGTCTTAACCCTTTATCATATAAGGGGCAAAATCACTGAATTGTGATTGGTCAAGACAGAGGGAATTTTTTTCTTAACTTTTGTAATTGCCACGGGCAGAATTACTTGAAAATGATTGGCTGAATATCGCTTAGCAATGGCTGCCAAGGTAAACAAATTTCTCTTTGTTTTGTAACAATGGCATCCCGTTTTGCGCGAGATCAGTAAGAAAACATTTTCCCCCTTATATTATAAACAAGTAATCACATGGTTCCTCGTAAAATTTAGGATTAATATCACTTGTGTTTTCGGATGTTGCAGAAATTTTCCTCGTTGCTGAGTGACTCGGGCCATTTCAGCAACTTCGGAAAACACACGTGATATTAATCCTTAATTTTACTCGGCCCCATACGATTACCTATACTTTTAATTAACTACCAATCTCTGTTAATTCTCCCCTTCAGTTGCCACTCACTTCCTTGTGGATTATAGTTACAATAATTTGATTTGGTGTTAGATCAAAATAACAACTTCTACCTGATTACTTTGAGTACTCTTATTGCTTTTTGCAGCATATAATGTAGGGGTATTAATAGTGAGAAGATACCTGTTCGTCACTTCTGGAAATTAAAGGATTAAGCTACTGCAATTATAGAATTTAAAATCATGTTAAAATATAGAACCATATCAGTAAAAATATCATAAACCAAAACTTTTTTTTAATCTAAATGTAAACACAGACTGCTAAACATCATTAATTACTGAATCATTCAACAAAGTTTTGCTGTCTGTTTCGAAAGTTTCAGAACCAATATTGCATTTATTAACAAAGCATAACAGCTTTTTTGTCCTCTCCTTTTTATTTTTTAAGGGGTGAACATTTGTACTGTGTTTGAGGGAGATCTTGTTCCCTCTTTGTACAAACCTCTAAATACACTGGACTCCACATCCCGGTACAGTTATCAGGTACCTGTTGTAAGGCCCACATTGTCGGCAAACTTTACTCGTTTTGGGTGCAACAGGAACAAGTATAAACCAGCTGTGGGAGCAGGTAAGTCAGGCAAAGCATGACATTGTCTTCTGATAATTTTCCTTCTTAGCTGTGGAATTCACTCAAGATACTTTTGTATTATAAAAGAACAGAATTCAAAAAAAAAATTCAAAGATGGACAAAGTTAACATTGTTATTTACAACACATTGCATCTTATAAACAAAGTACCTTTAAAAATAGTATTATCAATGGTACTTATTATTAGTATCATGACCATCATAAAAAAGATCATTACTTTTATTTTTGTACAGGATTATTATATAATTATTTTTTATTTTTGTTCAGGACAATTAACCCTTCGATTCACAAGATCTAGTTGTTAATTCTCCTCTCCTGTAATTCAGTTATGAGAATTTGGTGTTAGATCAAGGTCGCAACTTCTCCCTGATAAGTTTGTTCTCATTACCTGTTTGCTGGATAATGTACAGATATCATTGAGAGAGCTTACATGTTAATCACTTCTGGGAGTGAAAGGGTTCGACATTTTTTCTTTCCTTTTACTTGTCAAGTTCCTACAGTATCCTACAATTCTCCGCAAATGCATCTTTATGGACAGACACATTACTCAAGAGATTATGTTGACAAGTCTGCGGTTCTTAAGGTCAGTGCTGTTAAAACCTGATGACATCATCATCACACAGGAAGCAAATGCCTAATTGAACTAACTGTAATTTAACTTTTATGTTTCAAAATTTTGTGTTTAAGTTCATTTTTTCTTTTAAACTGAAGTTTGAAGTGCTTCCTATGAAACCATCTTTGGCAAAAACAAATGGTCAATTCAAGCACATCCAAAATAATCAAAACTAAACAAAATAAAATAATATCAAGCAAGTTGAAAGAAAATAACCATAAGATTATATAAATAGTAATGATAGGGGCCCTTATATTTTGTACTTTTTATTGAAATATTCCTTGTCTGGAATGCATTTTTGCAGCAAAAAAAAAGATGTAGAATGCATATAAAAGGAAATAGTGAGTGGTTTGTATGATTATGAAAATGTCATTAAAGGATAATCTAATCTTATTTGATAACTCTTTCAATTTTATAGGAAAAATCAAAAAATTACCAGCATGCAGCAATTCCAGCATTGGATGAGTATTTAAAAACTGCAAAGCCACATGGTAAGAGTCTGCCAAACAATTTGCTTGACAAAAAGTGAAAAAAAAAAAGTAAAGTCTGTTTACAAGCCTAGTGGCCCATTAGGCCGGTGCTTAACTCCGGTTTCTGTAGCATGAAGTGACTAGGAGTATTTCTACTCCCCCCTGGATGGGATGCCAGTCCATCGCAGGGTTACCCCCAGCATTAAATTGCCGGTACCCATTTATACACCTGGGTGAAGAGAGGCACTGTGAGAGTAAAGTGTCTTGCCTAAGAACACAACACAATGTCCCAGCCGGGGCCCGAACCCGGACCACTCGATCCGGAGTCGAGCGCACTAACCATGAGGCCACCGCGCCTCCCACCAAAAAACAATTCAATTATTTTAGTTATTTAATAAATAAAAAAAAAATTTGACCTTGTCACCTGATGAATGCTAGCAGTTGAAATGTTGCAATCAATACATTGGATAGACTGACTCTACATTATGAGATAAATGATTAAAAGTTTCAGTTATCTACAAAACCACAATAAACAACAACATTTTTCTAAAATAATTTCAGTTGTTTATAACTTGATCCTTTTATTATCAAGTACATCTCCAAAAGACTCATCTTTCACCTTAGTGGCAAAGACTTTGGACAGCTTATTTCAAATATGTTTTTGATTAAATATTTTTTTTACTGTTGACATATTGACCAAAAACCTTTGTACTCTCTACCTCACTCACAGAAAGGGAAAGTTTGATGCAAAAATTACAGAGCTTAGCAACAAAAGACAGGCGTGAGAATCATTATCCACAGTGGCTTTCACAGTGGACAGGTCCTGTGTAAAACTGCTTCCTCAAGAAGAAATAATGCATTGCTGAAATCTGGAAAATGTTTGTTGATTTATTCCAGTGCAACAATCATTGAAATTTTCTTTTATTATAAATCCACTGCAATTGTTGTAAAAAGTGGTAAATTTTTCTTCACAATTCAAAGCAATGTGAATAGTTATGTCTCCACTTAACTTTTTTTTCTTACAGTCCAGGAAGATTACTGACAATCCTTTAACTAAGTGATGCAGTGATAAACAAGAAACAACAAAGTTGTTGTTTAGGAAAGTCCTTGCAGCTTTTTTATATATTTTAATTTATTTGGATGTTCAATTGGGAGAGTTCTTTCATTACAGTGCATATTCAGATCCTTAATTTAAGAGACTAAAATGTACATTTGATGAAAGTGAAAGCTTTCTCGTGAAAAAATAAATGAAAAATATTTATTGATTTTAAGTTATTTAAAACAAGTGGAAATTCAATGTAACATTTCTCTATGTCATGCAGTGAACACACTGTTATTGTATTTGTTTGATGCTCTACAGTTAAAAAGAGGTTCTTACTTACCTCCCGAGATAATTAGAACCTCATGTTACATGCTGTCACTTGATTTAAAAAAATACCTTGTCTTGATTCAGCTTAATTGTTCACTGAGTTAAGTTGATTTTACAGTTTGAAAACAGCTTATTAAAACTGATAGTGCTAGTAGTGTAGTGTGACTACAAAATGCTGGTAACTGTTGCAGCAAAAAAGAATACCTGTCACTAAATAAGAAACTTCAGTACATGTACTTCCAGGGCTTGACACTAATGGTAGCCCACTAGCCACAGACTAGTAAAAATTCAGTTTTGGCCAGTGGTTTTCAATTTCCACTACCCAGTTTGGCTAGTAAACAGACTGAAATAGTCGTAACATCTAAAAACAACTAAGATGTCACTAGCCACTTGGCTAGTAAGTTGAAAAGTTAGTGTCGAGCCCTGTGCTTCAGAATTTCTAATTTCTTAACAAAAGCAATAAAAGAAGAGTGATGACAAACAGTGATGTTCCTGGTAGTTATCTACTTGTCTAATTGTCCCCCAAAAGATAGGTAGTCCAGCACTCTAGAATATAAATTTACCACCTTCATTGACTGTGCAGAAGCATTTCACTTTGACATTCGTATCCCAGCAGTATGCAGGAAGTTTGTCAGTGACCGTAGACCTAGTAAAACAGCCTAGCCTGCCACAAGTTTCCTAAGGCTCAGTGGTAGACCTTCCAAAGTACTAATCAGTAGGTTGTATGTTGGACATCTATTAGGAGCACTCTCAGAATTACCACATTAAAGTTAATTACCACACATATCAATGGTATTTTCAATGTAACACTCCCTATCTAATTAGATTTTGTTTTCTTTCCTGATGTTTGTCCATTTCCTGTACAATCCACTATGATCTTTCCTGTGGCCACCATAGAGAGAAAGGGAACAACTATCCAGATACCATTTGGAATGATGTATAAAAACACTGCAGACTTCCACTCATTGTGGTTCACAAAGTGTTGTCCACCACACAACTCACTAGAGACAAGGAAATAGAAAACTGTTTTGGAAAATGTCATTGTGCTCACCATGAAAGCAACCAGCACTGATAGTCCAACTTTGCCCTTGTTATACTATGAGAAAAAAGACAAATTTCAAATACGTAATTTCCCACAAAAAATACCTCCACCCCATTGCCAGAATAGCAAATAAGCACCTCTCAATAAGCACTCCTCTTTCTCGTTTCTTGACCTTTTGATCCTCAAGAGAGACTAGCATCTAATTTTTCTTTACAATATCATGCACCCCTGAATCACACATTTAAGGTCACAAGAATAGATTGAGGATAAGATCAACAACCAAATAAACTTTTGATTGTTGAACAAATTCTCCTTGTAAGCACCTTAGGAAATATATAGAGAACAAAAATGGAGAATGTACACATTGATGTTAGAGTGTAGAGGGTTAATAAAATAGGGAAGATGGAGTTCCATCATTTAAAAAAGAAACACCCTTGTTGTTTCTTATGAGTGAGAAATAACTGCAAAACAACTTACCATTATTAGAGCAATGATGTTAAGACACATTTCTGCCAGATTCATGCTAAGATAAGAGTAAAAGGAAAAATATTAGGTGCAATAATATAATAATTATGTAGAGTAAGAGTAAGATTGTAAGTTGAATCTAAAATAAAAGAATCCAACTGGGGTGGATCAGAGAATTGAGAAAGAGGGAACTAAAATGAGTCACTGCCTCTAATACCACAAATACCATAGCATGGCACTTAGTGAATAGAACTGTTCTAAAGACCCTATTTGAAAGATTAATGATAACAATAAATATAATTTAGAATAACAAAAAGTAAACAATTATTCAGAAAGGTATCATACCCTCCTTAATTAGTCTCCAATAATCGTGTTCAGTTTGTGTCATTTGGGAAAGTAGAATAAAATGAATGAAGTGTTTTAAAAGAACGGCCACCATATATATGTGCACCATCTCCTTTCAAGACATTTAAAAGGGAGAGCGAGGGGAAGTAACAGGCAGGTTTTTGATGCTTGAGTCCTAAAGATCGTCGTGGCAATCTTGCCAATACTTTAAATGTAGTCTCCCCTAGAATGTTAAGGCAGATTAGCAATAAAACTTTGCTTGTCAAGCTCAGGCCAGGAGAGCTCGCCAGATTATTGTACTACCGTCATTCTACTGTAATTACGTTGAAAAAACTCACAAGCTTTGTCCATAGTTAAATGTGTCGTTCAGATCTGCGTATCTTTTGTCGACGTGGATGTAAATATTGTCTGAAACAAACAAAATCAAATTATGTATAAATTTGATCCTATAACTGCGCTATACAACAAGCCACTGAAAACAAAATCAAACCGTTTCTTCTCTCTGCGTGACTTTTAGCTGAGTCATAGTTCAGTCTTTTTTCAAAGATTACAACTTACAATGCGGAAAGAGATAGTTCCATTTTCCTCCCGGTAGTGTGCGGGGTCGCAAAATCACAAACAAGGCGTCGATTGTGACAAAAATACTTGAAATTAAGAGCCAAACAGCGACCCAAAATGGAAGATTTCGCCCCGCCATCTGTAATACCTAACGATCTAGTTTTCTTGATCCCGGGAATTTGCGCAAGGTGGTGTGGGTAACGTTTTCTATTCTGGTCACGCAACGCAATACGTCACGATTATGGAGTCAAGACTACGCACTGTCTGCTATACATTTCGTAAAGGGTAGAACCTGCTAAAAATATGGCGTTTTTTGCGTTTTTAAATCGAGGAAAGGCTAGTGTCAGTTGAGTGCGTGGGGTGGGACACTCCCAGGGGAAGGGGTGTATCTCTTCACGATTTTAAAATTCCCTTCATTAGCTGCCCTTTCCTCAAGGCACAATCAGATTTCATAATCTGACAGAGGCATATCCTCGGTAGTTGCTCCTTCAATCACGAGGGACAGGTATTTTTTTTTCTTGAAAAATCAATAACAATCAGTTTTAGAGAGATTATTTTCTCTTGGTGTTAGGCATTTCCATTAGTCCCCTCACCGTTTAAAACATGGGTAACTTAGATGGAAAAAAATCCATCCTAGGTTTGTAAACAGCATGAATGATTACAGTCACATATGAAAAGAAATTGAAAAATGACAAATTTATTTTGTGAGAATTTTATTTCAAAATTTTTGTTACAATCATGACTAAAGTAGCCTGTGGCATGGTGCAAACTACCTCTGTGGCATACAATCCATCGCTTGTACTGCAGGCTATTCACTCTCAGTGTCAATTTTCAGAAAAAAAAAAATAATACCTAGTGCTATGGTTCAACAGAAGTTTACTGAGATTTCAATTGTTCCTTTTCTAATGGTTGTCCATTTCTCATGAGATCTATCATTATTTGTCCTGTGGCTATCATACAGAGTAATGGAAGAACGATCTAGATACCATTTGGAACAATAAATAAAAAAATTACTGTCCTCCAATCATTGTGGCTTAGAAAGTGATGGCCACCACACAACTTGCTGGAGACAAGGAAGTAAAACACTGTCTTAGATAAAGTCATTGTGCTCACCATGAAGGCAAGCAGTACTGCCAATCCACTTTTGCTGCTGTTTTGCTATAAAAAGAAAATAAAATTATTCATATATGATAATCTACATTAAGCACGCATTTTTTTTGGTTCCTATCTACCACACTTTGATGTCCTCTGTGGCCTATTACTGCCTAGTACTCAACAGAGACACAGCAATGCAACATGGAATTGTAACTGTTTGGTGACTAAGAAATTAACTCACCATCATCAAAATGACAATGTTGAGACACATCTCCAACAGATTCATGCTAGCAAAAAAAAAGATAAAACAAAAATCTTATTAACAGATATGTATCACAAGTCCATGAAAACTTCACGTTGAGCACGCAATATCCTTGGTAACTTCGATTAAAATTGCGTGACTTGGATGAATCGGTGCATGCAATAGATACTTACATGGCTCAAAAAGGAAGTTCCATTTTCCATCTGGTAGTGAATGGGGTCGTAAAAGTACAAACAAAGCGTCGATCGTGACAATAATACTTGAAATAAAGAGCCACACTGCTACCCAAAATGGAAGAATTCGTCCAGCCATAATGAACTTGAGCTGCTGTCTATTAAATGATCACGCAATGTATTGTGGGTCAGATTTGTGAGAGCAGCCTGTCACTCTAGTTACGCAACACTACGTTCTAAAATGTAATGGTTTGCACAAATTTGCCCAAAAGCTAAGAAGTGTTAAAAATATCTGAGCAACTAATTGCGCGGGGCAGAAAATTGGATCTAGTGAACAAAGTCGCGGCTTGATGGAAAGCTCTCTAGAAAAAATTATTTTGTAAAGAGACATCCCATATTTCATAACTGTTGCTTTAACACAGTTCAATTGAGTTGTATAATTATTATTTCGGTAAAAAATTGTAAAAGGAAAAGAACAGCCAAACAAAACAAATCAAACCACAACAGATAATTCTGTTTACCCTGCAGCTTTGTTAATTTTTTTTATTTCCTCAATTTTAAGAAACCCAACTAACAAGTTTTTAACCAGTTTTCCAACCTAGCAAAATCTAACATATTGAACATAGGCTAGCTACTGTGACTGACTTGGTACAAAATGTGTTGATATGTATTAAAATAAAGGTATGGAGACTGGCCAGGGGGAATGAGGAAATTTCATCCAAGGTTGGCTCTAAGCAGTTCAAGTTTAGATGGGGGGGTTTGTTGTGCACCTTAACATCTATAGCTAATATCTGAAATATGCAAGCAAGCACTCCTTGAGGAGTATGATGCAAACTACTCAGCACTAGAGAAGGTGAACTGATCATGAGCTACAATAGCCCATTTCCGAATTACCCTTGGCCTCGTTTTCAAAACGAGTCCTTGTGCTCATCCTTTTATATGATCATAAGTTTTCATTCACATGCCAATTAAACTCATTTTCACAAGAATGGTTGAGCACCAGGCCTCGTTTTGAAAAAGAGGCCAAAAGTAATTCGGAAATGGCCTATTAACCAGGCAGAGAAAAGGATCAAATGAAAATACTGATACTGCTCTTGTAAACCACAGCGAGAAGCTTTGATTGATAGGCAAATTATCCTTGTCAGTACCAAAGGAAATGCATAGCAAAGGGTCAGGAGATTATGGCTTCCTGAGTTCAGTTGTAAAGTGTTAATGGGATTTTTTCTTCTTTTTAGATTGTTGACCACTTTCCATGCTGTGTACTAATATACTTCCTGTGGCCACCATGCAAATGAAAGGAACAAGAATCCAGATGCCATTTGGAATGAAATATAAGAATACTGTTTTCCTCCAATCAGAATGGTTCACAAAGTGTTCCCCATTACACAATGAAGTAGAAACAAGGAAATACAACACTGTCTTGGAAAATGTCATTGTGCTGACCATGAAGGCAAGCAGGACTGAGAGCCCCGGTTTCCCACTGATTTGCTGTGAAAAATACAACAGATAATCATAATTAATAAGTGAGCAGAGTCTCCTATGAAAATGTGAAGCAATCAACATATAAACTGTGATGCTTTTGACCAAAATAGCACACTATATAGGTAGAGCAGGGCTACGAGTTCATCTTTTCATAAATTCCCCTGAATTCGCCACAAAAAATGTTATCAAAGGGAGGACATTACATGATGTACGGTACTATGAGGTGCAGCCAAGCGAGTCTGCAACAAATTTAGACCTCTGTGATGAGGATTGTTGTTGTTGATAAGCGTACAGACCATGCTAAAGCCACTGTCTATTTTTTTTTACTACAATTTCAACATCAAATAAAACGATCCTTTCAGTGCGTGACATGTTGAGTGACACTTTGACGCAAGCAGCATTGTCTGTACTCTTATAAACAATGGCAAATTGGCCAATCAGATTACGACATTACTGCTATTTGTGGTAAAAATTGCAATAATGGTCAAGACAAAAAGTATGAAGAGGCTCTGATGTCTGGTAGCAGAAAATTAATGATTCACAACAAAGTTGCTGAGATTAGATTAAAACAATTTCCGTCAATTGCCCAGCTGAGAAACATCTCTCATTTGAAATGAGCTGATCAATCTATTTGTATCAAAACCTTCCATATTGTAAATAACACCTTGAATCACTTAATAGTTAGACACCATAAATTATTATACCTCCTACTGCAAAGTTGATGGTTAGATTTAAATGCTGCATGTAATATTAAATGAAGAGTTTATCTCAATTTAATGAGTTTGACTTGATCACCGCTTATTTTAAGGTTACTGCCTATTTTAAAAGGAGTTACGGAATGGCGAGAGAGAAAAACAGGAAGACTGGAGATACTGGCCTTTTCTTTCATTTGACAATTTGACCTTGCTTCGATAGAGATAACCCCCAACAACAAAAAATTACCGAAGAAGGTTCAACCCCCCTTGTCTTTTAGTGCAGAGGTTAACAGTAATGATGGCATAATAAGAGTAGCCTTGCAAATAACCCAGTCTAGTATTAATATTGTTCTCTCAGAGCATTTCATCAGAATCTTTCTTGGTAAAATGATACAAAGCAGATTTAATGTTTGCGAAAAAATTACTTTTTAAGCCTTGTTACCATTTGCTTCTATCCATATAAGACATTGTTGAAGATTGTTAAAGAGGTTTGCTTGTACCAACAAACAATACAAAACCCACTTGGAAAAATCTGAGAAGGGCTACAGTGTGCACTAAGCTTAGCAACTGACAGGCCCTCACATTTCCAAATTCACCATGCCCTCTGCTAAGGAGACAAGGAGATTTGAAAATCACATCATGCATCATCGGTAGCAAGGTCAATAAAATTGTCTTGCAATGTGTACTTACTATGGCTAAAACAATGTAGTTGATGAACACCTCTACCAGATTCATCCTAAGAGACAAAATGGTAAGTGACAGATGAATATCAACATCACTTCATAAGTGGTTAACTATAAGACACATCCAGGGGCCTAATGGTGAGTGTGTTGGAATTAGGATCAAAAGTTCCTGCTCCCAGCTCTGAATCAGTATCCTTTGAGGGTTTTCTAGCAAAAGACAATTTACTCTCACAGTGCTTCATTTGACCAAAGAATATGAATGGGTAGCTCTGAGCTGTCAGGGTAGCAAGATACAATTCTGGGGCAGCCTGAGTGGAACTTAAAAGGTCCAGGTTGGATACCTGGCCCAGTCAATTTGCTTTTGGAAAAGACTTTTTACTCTCACAGTGCCTCCCTCCACAGAGGAGTATTGATAAGCACCAGCAAACTGTCAGGGAAGCCTAACAGAATGCCTGAGGGGGGACCTATATTGGACTGGCATCCTATTTAGCATTAAATTTCTCCTCATTGTCTCATGCGATGCAAACCAAGATAATTAAGCTCCGAATGGATGAATCATTTGCTTTTCAAGCAGACTTTAACAAATGAACCACCATCAAATCCAATTACTTTGTGCCGCTACAGGAAGTAAGAAAGTCTCTAACAGTTATGAAAGTCACTCTCATATTCTGACTTAACCTTGAAAACCAATTCGCCATTTACAATTTAGCTTTGCCTACTGTGAATTTCAGTTATGCAAACTTACAAGCTTATTCCCTTGACAAATGTGTCCTTGAGATCTGAGTATCTTAAGTCAACTTGGAGGTAAAGATTGTCTGAAAGAAAAATTAAATAGAATGACATTGTAATTTAGTCAAGATACAGTTGGCTTTAAGAAATTTAAAACTTTGGAGTTTTTCAATGTTAGTAAGGTCACCTTTCTCCGTCGGCCCTAGCTTCTAAGGTTGAGGCGGTTAAACAATTTTTTCTGACATTAATCTTGCAAGAATGACAGATATGTACGTTTCCATTCAGATTTGAGAGTTCAAACAGGGTACAAAACATTTTGAACCCAGCTATCAAATGTAACATGTAGTATTCGCTACTTTTCTCTGCACTTTGGCGTGACACAAATATTTTCCTTCGCAAAGAGTCGTTTTATGCTTACAAGCCTGGACGATATGGTTCCATTTCCCTCCTGGTAGGGTATGAGGACGCAGGATGACAAACAAGGCATCAATCGTGCAAATAATACCAGAAATAAAAAGCCATGCAGAAACCCAGAAAGGAAGATTTCGCACCGTCATCTTCGATCAAACAGAAGCCAAGACCGTTGTGATTTGGGCTACCTGTTCAGAATTGGAAGGACTGTGCTACGCCAAACAAGGTCACATAGTGACGTCATAAAGTTCCTCAAAGCGAGTCGGTAGTTGTCTTCTTGAGTCGCCATTTTTGATTTCACTTTTGTACTTGGCTTGTAAATTAGTCTCCAAAGCGCCGAAGAGATCGCAACAATCCCGGAATATTTAATTTGGAAAGCTTTAAGGCTTTCCGTAGAAGCCAGTCATGGCCTCAAATCAACGCTATGAACCGGTGTGTGCGTCGTTTGTTCATTTCATGTTTACGTTGGTTTAGATTTTTCCTTCGAATTCCTTAATTTAATTAATGCCCCTTTTGTTTGTTACGTTCTTGTTGAGCGAGTAATATTGAAATCCTGATTTGTTTTTCGTTGTGGGTATTCTCTTTCGTTTCGTTTACAACGTATTCTCAAACAATACTACCTGCTTTGCGCATCATGTGAGTTGAAATATAAACTGTTTGGAGCGGCCAACATAAGTCTGATTTACCAACCGAATGTTTTTTTTCTGATAATGTGGTAAATTTTAAATCGTTTATACGCATCGTTGTTGAACCCACGACTTAAATAGTGTTAAATTCGCCGCGAATTAAAATAAATCGCTCTTCGAAGATTTTTCCAGAGTAGGGAGATAAGATTAGATAACTTACCTTTTATTTGTTGCTTGCAAATGATGTAGATATTTTCAGTCCATGAGCTTATCTACGAACGAGCAAGTTAATTGCTAGGAGTATTTTAGTCCGGGATATTAAGTTGTGGAGACTGTTATTTGTTCAGTTTGTTGAAAGTAAATGTCCTTATGGTGATATTCAAATATTTTCTTACGTTATAATACCAGAGGTAGGTAGGTAGTAGTGATTACCAGAATTGGATTGACAAATTTTTCAGGGTTAACCATTTTAGCAGGTGTTCTTCGTGATAAACATGTTGATGTGGCTACTTTTAGGGAAGTTTAGAAAGGAAATCCATTATGAACTGCTGTTGGTTACAAACCCCCTAATTCAATGTTGTTCAATATAATGGTAGAAAAAAGTGCACTGTTTTAGGAGAATGAGGAAGTAAAAGTAAAATGAATAAAGGGGGTAAGTTTTTAAAGAAACTGTGGTGCCGTGTTGGTGAGGGTAACAAGGTAATTTGGTTATATCAACTAAGTGAATTTGTAAATTGGCCACTGTAAAGAGTTAAGAAGCTGACCTTTTGAGTGTTAGCCCTTTATCAGAGCAAAGTAAAAGTAGGATGGTATAAGAGATAGAATTCGTATGCTAATCCAGGATATTGTGATCTCAATGGTTTAGTGGCAACAATATTCTGTAAGATTGTAGTAAAAAGTGGTTTTCCTATTAGGTGGCTACCACTGAACCTCCTCCTCCTCCTTCTGTTGCTGTTGTCTTGACGATAGCCATGCCCCCAGAGGACAATACCTCGTGCTCACCACCTCCCCCTTATGAACCAACTGATGAGCAGGAAACTACTGGAGGTACTCTTATTACTATGATGTTTTTCTTTATGATCCATTAAATATTTTTGCTTGCATGCGCAATTGATTGAAATGCAACACATGACCAAATATTCCCAAGCTTAAAGTGAAACTGGTAGAAATCCCAGGATATTCCTCAATTTTCAAACCTTATGTCCACTATGATACGTCTTTGTTTAAAATATAATTCAAGAAGAGCGAGTGTTTTGTGGTTGTTACACAAGAAGGGAAATATTTGTTTGTTCATTGAGTTGTTTCAGAGAACACTCAAAAACAACATCCCACTAAGTAAACTGTAAGCTGTCCATAAACACTTTTTTCAGGTGCATGGGAAAATATTTGAAGGAAAGTAAACACAATAGCCCCTATTTCTTTTCTCTGTTCCTTAAGCTGACAGTTTTCCTCAAGCTTTGCTCTTAGAAAATTTTTTACACCTTGGAACAGATCAGGTGGTGTTCGTGCTCTGATTGCGTTGCATCATGGTTGTAAAACAAAAATTGAGTCATTTGCATCTTGACATGTTGGATTGAACTTCTTTGGTGGCTGGGAGATAGCGTGAATATATGTGGATTGTAATGAGGATTCACTGTCTGTTGCCGTTCCTTTGAAAGTTAAAAAGTTTGACGAGACTGCGCGACTCCCGTCATTCTTCCGTGATGAATTCATTCCTTGGAGGCAACTGACATTATTTTGAAAGATTCGAAACTGCAATCTGCCTAAGAATCTCAACACAAATGGCAACAGTTGCACTCACAACCAGTGGCAGGATGAGTAATTTCAAAGTCAGAAATTATATTCCTAGATGCGAGTTATTTAACAGGGAATTGACCCTTGACATGCAAACGCATGTTAAGTTAAAGAGACAGAGACCTTGTAATACACAAACTTTTTCCACCAAGTGTAAATACAGGATTTGTAAGAGAAGCCTCACGCCTCCTAAGAATGAATTTGTCGCGCTCCACGTTTAGTAAAAATGTACAGAGTTTCAAAATACCCTTTAAGAATGATGGAAACCTAGATGAGGGTTGTGAGAAATGTGTCTCTAGAGATATTTCTGCTGGAGAGAAGTATATTCTAAAACAAAGAAAATAGTGCAGGCACAGAAGAAAATATTGCCTTTTATAACACAATTTCATCCGGCTTTGCCAAACCTCAAGAACATACAGATGGGGAAATGATGCCTCAAAACTGATCCTTATTATCACATTGCAAAGGAAAGTCATCAAGAGTTATCCTTATAAGACCTAAACTTTGAGGGTAGAAGATTTAAAAGCCCTAGTGAATGGTTGGAGATGCACAGACCTATCAACACCTTTCAACAGTCGACTGCCTTTTGCTTTCCGGCTTTCCGGCATGTCGCCTCACGTAAGGTAGAGGTTTTCATGGATCAAGTGACTCTTTTCATTGCTCTAATCAAACTGTCCTTCATTCAATGATTAAGATAGAAGATTTACCACACAACACTCGTGATTAGTTAATTTTACTTCACTTAGTAAAGTAGATTTACAACACGATTGAGTACATATAATGAATGTCCTTGCAGTAGTAACGCTATGTAATGCAATACACTAAATGCAACAATGGGCCTTTTTGCTCCACAAAAGGGTCTCAAACACTATCACTTAGTATATGCATAAAACATTTGTACTGTTGGAGTGCGTTTGAGTGCATTTGGTCAGAGCTGTTGAAGAAGGATCAAAGTAGCCATACAAATCTTTGAAAGACTTCAAACTACGCTGTACAATGAATTTGACCTCGAAAACCAGTCTCAAATTACATGTTAAAAATACAATGCCTGTGTTTGTCCTTGAGAATGATAGGGTACGTGACAAATACATACGAGAAATACTTCTACACATTCAGAATATATCAAATTATATTCCCCTCTAGTGAAAGGAAAAAGAAACGACCTAACTTTTACGGAATGTTCAGTGAAAATCAGCCAATTTCTGCTGCTTTTACTGCCATATTGAAAATAATGCTACCACAATGCAATGTAATCGGAGTACGCATACTGCCTGGGAATAGATAATGTCAGCGGACAAATATCTGTAAATGTTTTGGCACCAAGTAGAGGCTAATGATTATATTTAGCCTTTTTGTGCCCCTTAGTATACAGCATTTTTTCTATGGGAAGGGTCCTGATTTTATCAAAAGATAAATTGTTTCATTGTTGTTTACATCATCAGATACTGATCTGCCACCATCATATGATATTGCGGCTAAGCTACCAACTTATGAGGAGGTAGAAAGAGTCAAAGGGCAACAGGATGGTTTGGTGAGTTACTCAAGCCTTGTTGTATATGCACATGTCTAACAGTTTGGTGCATGAATGCTGATAACAAACTGTCATTCCTTAGTTATGCAACTGATGATCTGGCCCTTTTTGTATTTCAGGTTGAAAGAAATGCTATTTTGCTTGATGGTGGAGTAGGTATGAATAAAATGTCTTTTTTATTCAAATCTTGTCTTATTTAGCTACTGCTTTTTATCTTTGACGTTGTTACAAAGCCACTACTAGTATCATTTTCTGGAAATGCATCTCTAGGTGATGGCACAACTTTAACAATTTATTAATTTTTCCTTTTCTGTTGTGTAGAAGTCGCACTTGGAAATGACTGGCTGTTTTTGATCTGTTTTATATGTAAGTTATTTTGTGTTACTAAGTAATATTTAACTTGCAAAATATTTCATGATTGTGACCTGTAGGTGTCTTGATACCTTATGTATCTCTCATCAAAATGAACGGGCCTGATTATAGTCTGTGAATTGAGGGAGCTCATCTCCTTGACTTATATAGGGTTAGGATATTTAAAGATAATATATCACCTCCCATTTGGATTGATGAAAGCTGATTGTTAACCCTTTAACTTGGAAGATCTGATTGTTAATTGTCCCCTCTAGCTGTTACACATTTCCTGGTAAATTAGTTCTGAGAATCTGGTGTCAGATCAGGATAACAATTCTACCTGATAAGTTTGAGTATTCTCATCACCTGTTTGCCAGAAAATGTATGAAAATTATAGGGAGAAGTTTCATGTTAATCACTTCTGGGAGTTTAAGGGTAATCCTGTCCTGATTCAGCCCATAACAGTGAAGCTATTTATTGGAAAAATACAAGTGAACTTGCACGGTTTTTTTTGTTCCTCTTTAGATCTTTATATCCTGCTTTGAGTGAGAGATGAAGCTCTTGCTTGTTTAACCCTGTAACTCCCAAGATATTTTTTTATTCTCTGCTCTAGCCTGTGATACACTTCCCTGTAATTGACATATTAACAATAGTAAGAGTTTGGTGTTAGATCCAGGTAACAACTCTCATTACATGTTTGCTTGATTAATGTATGGATGTCATTGGGAGAAGTTACATGGTAATCACCTCTGGGAGTTAAATTGAAATGAGTCTGCTGTTTTATGGGTGAGTTTTGATTTCTGTTTTGCTAGTGGCTTTTGTTTTCAACTGGTTGGGATTCTTTGCGGCATACTGTATGACCAACACCATTGCTGGGAGGTATGGTGCAATGTCTGGCTTTGGACTGTCGGCAGTCAAATGGATTCTTATACTAAAGGTGAGAAATGTCACAAAATGACTAAAGTGTTAGAAGGGGTTTCTCTGTTAACCAGTGCTTTCACTGAGATGATTATAGGTAGTACATGTATATTTTTGATATGTGCTTATACAATTTTTGTAGTGTTCAACTGTTCCATAGTACATGTAAAATGAATGGGGGAAACTTCTGTGCACAACTGTCCCTGTAGCCTCTATTTTTGTGCTGAAAGTAACTATTTCCAATAGATTAAAAATTTGTTCCTCTTGTAGAATTCATCTTCGGTCGACACAGAGTTTGTCCATTCCTGGCTTTGGTGGATTGCTCTTGCCCTCGGTAAGAATAACTCATTATCTGGTGAATCATATCTACAGAGCTGTAAATGTTGTACAGTAAATGGTTTGAAGTTAAGAGTAACATGTGAAAGTGTGGTCTGATAGGGTAAGAGTAGCTTAGAGAAGGACTTTTCCAGTAGTAGTGACTGACGTTTCAACAACTTGAGTGGTGGTCATCAACAGGCGAGTGAAGAGGTGTTGTCAGTCCAGTTAAACTGATTGGTCAGTTGAGCTCTGATGTTACCAGTATTAGCTGTAAGATGCAAGTGGTGTTAATCATTTTTGATTGGTCAGTTTTGATTGGTCAGTTTTGATTGGTCAGTTTTGATTGGTCAGTTTTGATTGGTCAGTTTTGATTGGTCAGTTTTGATTGGTCAGTTTTGATTGGTCAGTTTTGATTGGTCAGTTTTGATTGGTTGTTAGTGGTAATTGCTGTACTGTTGGGAGTTACCATAATTTCCGGCCGTTTGTTTACCCGCGGGTAATCTGTTGATTTTGCCTTAAAAACGCGCCACTGCGGGTAATAGGAAGGTGCGGGTTATGTGACAATTTTGAAATCTACTGGCAGTTGAATTAAAGAAAATTCTCACCTACCTGCGTTTCCACCTCTCAGATGAATTTTATTGTATTAAGAGTGCCACAAAGCGGCACGAAAACATGATGCCGACTCGAGTTTATTTCACGCACAATTAGTTGCGCGACGAACAAATTACTATCGGCACGCGTGTAAACAAAACCTTGATGGCGACAAAAATAAACCGAGGATAACCGGCGCATCAGTAACAAATTTCCAGTTAAGTGAATTTTCACGTTTTAAGGGACTTGTTGGGCCCAGTAGAACCAGAGATATCGATTTTTTTGAGAAATCAACATGGCACTGAACGATCGTTCGCACAAAATGTGGCCACGAATTCGCATTCTGTCAAGTATGCATAGTTGTGAATTCTAGAGCACATTTGTACAAATTTCCTTTGTTTTTAAGGTGCGGGTAATCTGTTGACTTTTTTTTTTTTTTCGCTGCATGCAATAATGGGCCGGTGCGGGTAAACGGCCGGGCGGGTAATCGGCCGTGCGGGTAAACGGCCGGAAATTACGCTACTGCAGTGTTAAGTAGTTGTCTTTAACCATTAATTTATGCCTTTTTTTTTAGGATGGCTGATATTTGTTCAAAGTATTTTGACCTACTTAAACATCAAGTGGTGGGTGAAGAAGGGCTGTCGTTCTTTTCAGCGTCACTGGGGAATGCCACGAGGCAGCCACAGGGATTGATTTGTTTAGACTTGATCTACTTAATGCAAAGGAGGTGGTCATTACATATTGGGTCATGTTAATGTTGTAGAGAACTATTTTATATTGGATCAAAGCCCAGAAATGAAAGGTTGCTGGGTGTACTAAACATCGCAGATGTAAGAATAATGGATTGCAGATGAAAGTGTTACTTTTTAAATCTTCCATAGTGCACCAACTGTGATGTAGCTTCTTAAACCTGTTAACTTTCAATATCTGTGTTGTAATTCTCCTTTTAAGTAGCTGTATGCTTTCTTTTAGAAAAGTTATCAGAATTTGGTGTTCTGTTTCAACAATGCCCTTTGCTGACAAGTGTGTCTGTTTACATTTAATTTACCTGTTTGAAGAATAACAATATGATTTTAACCCTATACACCCTAACATCAGTATCCATATTCTCCATACTTTTCTCTATACATTTCCCAAGGTGCTTACAGGAGAATTTGTTTGCATTTAAGAGCTTCTTTAATAGGTGATGATTTTCTTTAGTCGTGTGAACCTAACATTTGTTGCGGGGGTCGCAGTTGTAAGGAGAAATTAGCTGTTGGTCACTCTTACGGTTAAAGGGATAAGAGAAGATGTTGTATGTTTATCTTCTGGGTGTGAAAGTGTTAGGAGAGCTTTAGAGTACTTTGGATCTTCAAGGTCTGGTTATTTTCGACAGCCACTGTAAGGCTATTTTGAAGGAAACTGCGATTGAAGGTGTGAAATGGGGTGATGAATCTCATTCTATTCCTTAGCTAAAACTGTAGGACATTTGTGATGAAATTTAGAAGTCGTTATTATATGATAAACGAATAGGAGTTGAGGTATAGAAATGCACAAATCTGCACAGTTGTAGGCCAGTTCAAATTTAGACACTTAATATCTCGAAGAGAACCAAATAAAGGAAGCATTGTTCATGCATTATAGCAGGGATTGTGTATGGCAATCTGTTGTGTTTTAAGATCGAGTTATTTCAATCTTCAAATAATTTGAAATTTTGACTTTGTAGATGGATGATTCTGAAATTGTTAACGAACAGGAGTAGGAATTCTTAGGGTGTCATTTGTAAGGAGTAGTTAGTTATCTTCTTTCATTGTGGATTGTTTTTACAGGGCTAATTACTTGAAATATTTGTGGACTGCGACTGCGTCGAGGAAAACGGCCAGTCAAGCACGCGAAATTTTATTTGTTCCTCCATGTGTCAAGCCTTTGTTACTTCTCGTGACTCAACTTTACGTGAAATATGTTTACTCGGGAAAAAAACTCCGACTGGCCCATCTTCATTTACATCACAAGCCCCTTTGTGTTAGGGAAGTTTAACATAAATGCGCTTATCACATTTCACTCTGATAGAGTACTTGAAACACATGTAACGAACGCACTGGATCTGAGAAAATGCTCCCCCACAGTCTCTATTAATTGTTTGTGTAACACTCGCTACACTGGAAACCAGACGTGAGCACTAAGAACCGAGAAGAACTGCCTCTCATTTCATAGTCCATGAGCGCCATTTCCTTAATTTTTTTCCAAGGAATTTAAGAAACAGCTGCTGCCACGCTGACTTTGTAGAACGTTCTTAGCGAAACAATGATAAGGAAGAGAACTTGCGACTTTTCGAACGCAATAGACACACTTATATAATCAGTTTTCAGATGGTCGACAGTACATCAGCTGACCCGCAGATAACCATAGCTAGTCAAAGGCGGGTCAGCAGCTAAGACCGAAATACATGAGTAACTGTCTAAACTTACTAAAAAACACTGAAAGGCTACTACCAAGAAGTAGGTCGAAAAGGAATTGATTAAGATAAAGCTCGGACATCAAGTTGTTGTGCAACATTTTTTGTTGAAATTATTTCTTTTAGCAATTATCTTTAGCTGCCGGGATGCTGAACGAAATAATAATCAATAATAATAAAGGTTTATTAGCATTCCAAAAATTAATTGGCTCTTCTATGCTACAATTACTATACTATTCTAATTACGCTATATCACATAGTTTACAATAAATCGCATTCTAATTGAGAATTAAAATATAAACAAGCTAAAAGACCTGAGATTCATGTTTCTAATCTCTTTCCGGCGTTATTAACAAGATATGATGTCAAACTACTCTTAAAGGACCGAAAGTCCGTACAGTTCCGCAGATAACTTGGTAATGCATTGAAAATGGCTGCTGAGCACAGTGACTCGCTGGCTTGTGTACAAATTTCTGACTCCAACAGCGACAAATCCCTTTAACTTTTTGCAAAGGTTACTTATTTGTGATTAACTTACCACACTTCGCTGCACCCGAATCTTTTTGTTTCTTGTGTCGCCAAGGACTGTCCTTGAATAACTAAGCGAAAAGAAATACTGCCTTCTTATACCACAAATAAATTAGGTCAGATCTGTCAAGTTCTAAGGATGAATTCAAACTTATAAAGATGAATTCCGTGATCGATCTGAAAATGAAAATGACAAAATTTTGAGGATGGCCTAAGAGCGGCAAAAAAAAGCGTAATTAGACATCACGAAAAGGCTGCTCGTCGATAATATTATCAAACAACTCGGCAAAACCCATATTATGTGTGAAGCGATTTTCAAACGGTCCTCCTTTGTTAAACATCTTGTACACGTCATACCACTTGCGCCGACTCTCTGTGTAGTAAAGCTCCTCGATTTTAGACTTGTTTAGGCGATTATTCTTTCCCCAGTGTGGCCTTGCTTTGAACTCCTTACAGAGCATGCGCTCCACCTTGTCCTGGAACTCGTCAACGCCGTATGCTCCAGGGAGAAATGGTACCTGGGTAGAAAAAGATGAATATGCAAGAAGCAGAGACTCAATCCTTACTATTGCCTCGTTTTATGGTAATTCCCAGAGAGGTTTATTTTCTCACCTCAATGTAACAGTTGTGATCATTGGTAGTTCCGTCAGGTCTAAACTTGCTTGCAGGACTCAGGAACAAATCATCCGTTTGCGCAAGTCTCACATAAATTGGAAGCAAGGAATACTGTTTATTCCTTGTTGCGTAATCTTGAGCCAGTGTTATCACCATGGTCAGGGCTCTTTGGAGGTGTTCCAACGGTAAGCACCATTCTGCTGTGCGAACGCTAAAATCACGGAAAACATCAATACAAAATTTTGTCGTTAATTCTCATTCAATTAGTCCATTTGGCTGTTTGTGCGGATAGGAATTAGAAAATTTGACATGGCGAGTGATTTAACTTACTGGATATTGCCTTTCGTGAACTGCAGCACGTTGTACCACGTTTGCACATACCTCGTGCCTTTTTTGAAAGAGAACTGTGATACACCGATATTGGTGAGCCGTGGAATCCAGGTGGGACAACAATTGGCACATCCCTGAAGGCAAGAAGCTGTGCAGTCAGTCTGCACGCAGCCAACGTCCGCTAATCCTCTTCCTCCACAACAATTACAACAGCATGAGCAACAGGCACAGCAGATTGGTTGAGGTGGGCAACAAGCACAGCAGGTTGGATCAGATGAGCAACAAGCACAGCAGGTTGATTTATGAGGATCTGTTTTGCAAGCTGACAAGTAAGCCATTTCGATATGCTTGTCATTCCTGAAAGAGCAAGGAGATAACAAGCTTACTGACTTTATCCCTACCTTAGAAGGAGAAAGAAGTAACAAAGAGAGATTTAAACTGGACTGAAATAAACTATCTTTTTTAAGACTTTCACCACCACCTTCACTTTACCTCTGCTATCACTATCACATTCCTCGCTACCGTCACAAATACCGCCACCATCACCATAACTACTACCAGCATCGCCACCAGCAATACCACAACCATAACCGTTTCTTCTACCCATACTAACATTAGCACCAGCACCAAAATAGTCACCCTATCACTATTTTCAACAGTACCACCAGCACTATCACAACCATCTCCATCATTCCCAAAGCCGCCATTTGCACCACCCTTGCCATCACTAGGAGCATTACAACCATTACTACCATCATGAACAGCGGCACAGCCTCAAACACCATCATTTCTACCATTACTTTTAGCAGCACTACCACTACAACACCGCATGCAAATCCCACTACCGCTACTGCAACCAAGAGCACTGTAAACACCACCATCATCTCTCCTATCACCACTATCATTACCACCCTCCTATTTTTAATAATACCAATACTACCACCACCACCACCACCACCAGCAGCTCCATCTCCACACCCATCACTATTACCACAACTTTTTCTACAAATTCCTTGTCACTACTTTGTCAGCTACTCTTGTCACTACCATTACCGCCACCTTCGCTATAAAACTATCAACAGCACTTCCACTTCACCATCACAACCACTACTACTACAACAATCATTACTAGTGGCGGATCTAGGGGAAGGGGGCGTGTCCCCCTTTTATTTAGGTAAAACCACCACTATCATTACCACCCCTTCTATTATTAATAGTGCCAGTACTACCACCACCGCCATCACCAGTTCCATCTCCACACTCATCACTATTACTACAACTTTTAGCTCAAATTCCTTTACAAATACAGCCACCCTTGTCATTACTATTACCGCCACCTTCACCATACAACTACCAACAGCACTTCCACTTCACCGCCGCCCAGTTAACCCGATGGATAGTGTGCTAGACTGTTGTGCGGGAGGTCGAGGGTTCGAGCCCTGGCCGGACCAACACTCAAGGTCTTAAAATAATTGAGAAGAATTTTCTACCTTTCTATAGCATCAAGAAATGGCTCTATATTCTAGTCCTCTCGGATAGGAACGAATAAATGGAGGTCCCGTCTCCTGCAGGTTTGGGGTAGAGAGATGTTAATTTCCCACACACGAGATTACTGTGTGATGGATGTCCTCCCCTGGGGCGGGGTGGTGGGTTTGTATTGTTGTGAAGGCCGCAAGTTAGATAACTCATTGAGTTAATTACGTCACCTTCGTTAAATAAAGAATATTGTATCGTATTGTACCATTACAACCACTATTAATACTATTGATAAACCTAAAGCCTTACCTTGGCCCTACTGGGTATGGATTGACGAAAAACGAGAAATACTCCGCATCTTTTTTCTTGTACATTTCAGCGAAATTTTCAAGAACAACCCTGATATCATTCATCTCCATCAATGCATCGTCGTCGTTGTCTTCCGTCGGCTCTTTAGGCCAAGAGACCTGCACCATTTGTCTGGTTTCCTTTAGATAGTACATGGGGACACAGCTGTATGTAATGGAATATATTACCCCCACACTTCCTATGCCTACTTGACATGCCTTTAACACCTCAGTACTGTTAATCTCGATGGGCACCTCTCCATATTTGGCCCTGGAAATCTTTGCCTCGCAGTCCGCAATGGTTTCGGGGCCGCTTCGTACCTTCACTTGGATTCCACCACGTACGATTAAATGAAGACCTACCACTAAAGTGGACTGGAACGAGACAGGAATTGTTAAGTTGTTTTCCTGAACAAGTTTCTGACATGTTCCTTCCTTTGAAGAGGAGGTAAATCTTGGTCGTAGAAAGACCTAGATAATCATCATTGGGAAATT